ACCCGAGAATCAAAGACGTCCAAGAGACGACCGTGTGGAGCTCCATCCTGTCGAAAACCATTCGAGCATCAGTCAAGCTCCCACACTTGGCATAAGTTTCTACCAGACCATTTTGGACGAAGCTACGGACGACAGGCTCCTCGTTGAGAGCCATGGAATGAATCGCCATTGTCTTCTCCAAAGCCCCTAAACTCTTTTCGTTCCCTTTCTCTGCGAGATTTCCAGAAGCCTTGAGTACGATCGGCCTAGGCTTGCATCGCCGAGAAGAGCTCGAAAACGATGCCGCCTTCGCTGCTCTCGGAGCAGCCGCTGTGACTGGGCATCCTGGCGCGCATCCGTGAGGCTGCGGCTCCATACAGCTAGAATTCCCCGGATCGCCGCGCTCGATCGCCGCGGCGTCGACAAGCTTGCTGATCTCTCGACCTGCCGCATTGCTTCAATGCAGCCAAGCAGCTGCCGATCCAAGCGCTCGCCATGATCCAGGCGTGCCAGATCGAAGCTCATCGTTGTCGCGTCAGAAAGAGGGAAATATTTCTATCTAGTAAAGAACCCTAAGAAGAGATTTTAGGGTTTTGCGAGAGGGAGAGAGATGGGCGACAGTCAGTACTCGCTTACTACTTTCAGGTAAATCGATCGCCTCGCCCTAGCTGCCGCTGAGCTGATCTTGTTGCACGCTTGCCAGTCCATCGGGGAAGCTCGTCCAGATCGAGCATGCTCTCACAGCCGTGGCCGCCGGGCAGACCTCGCTCGGGATCAGAGGTAATTTCTCTCTTTCCTGGTTCTATGATCTCTTCCCTTGTTGTGGCATTCGCAGTCCGGAATGGAGTTGTCATTGCGACCGAGAAAAAACTTCCATCGATTCTTGTCGATGAAACATCTGTAAGTTTCCAATTTTTTTCTCCTCCTTTTCTTTTTCTTTTGGGGCGAATCTTACTCTTTTTTTTTGTGCTGGTTTCTTAGATCCAAAAGGTCCAGAATGTGACTAGCAATATCGGCAGCGTATACAGGTTTCCCGTTTTGTTCTTGCTTAGCTTTGTTTTTTGTCATTCTGGTCGAAGTTCTTAGTAAATCTTATTCTTGTCAGTGGCATGGGTCCGGATTCACGGGTGCTCATGCGTAAGAGCCAGAAGCAAGCATTGCAATACTTCCGTCTTTACAAGGTAGGGAGACCGTATTACGTTTGTCGCACGGTAATCCTACCAAGTCTTGCAATACAGGAACACATTCCTGTCTCCCAACTGGTCAGAGAAATCGCGGCTGTCATGCAGGAATTCACGCAGTCGGGGTATGTTCGCATCTTCTTTTTCTGCTGGTCATTTCGGCTTGATATTTAAACTACAGTGGTGTACGTCCATTTGGAGTGTCGTTGCTTGTCGCCGGCTTCGATGACGAAGGTCCGCATTTATATCAGGTATTGTAATGTTATTGGCTCGCGCGGGCACCTGTAATAGTGTCACTATTCAGGTCGATCCGTCAGGTTCATACTTTTCATGGAAAGCATCCGCGATAGGCAAAAATGCTTCCAACGCCAAGACCTTCCTGGAAAAGAGGTTTCCGACTTGTTTACTAGTTGTGTCCGACACACTCTCATGCTTTTTTTCTCTACAGGTACACGGACGACCTGGAACTGGAAGATGCAGTCCACACGGCAATCCTGACTTTGAAAGAAGGGTGCGACCTTTCTCCCGCGACTGCTTTTCTTTCCCAAGGGATAACGTTTTTCGGTTTTATCAGTTTCGAGGGGCAAATTTCCGGGAAGAATATCGAGATTGGCATCGTGGGGTCGGACCAAAAGTTCAGGTATCTTGTCCATTATCGCTGCAACTTGATGGCAAACGGAGAAAGCCTTGCAGAGCCCTCACGCCCGCTGAGATTGACGACTATTTGGCGGAAGTAGAGTAATTGGATCGAGAATCGGGACTGTTTTAAGCCCTCTGTTCAAGGTACTTATTGTGGAAACACTCATGCTGGCCGGTGAGAAGTTCTTGCATCTTTTTGTCTGTCAGTTGCATGCTCTTTTACCTCATCTTCTTCTTGAGAATATTTGTGGCTTCATGCCATGCTGATCCCAAGAACACAAAGTGACTAGATAACATTATCTGTTGGCATCCGTGTCATGATGCATTCATTCGCGTTTCTGCGTGGCGAAACATCCGTTCTATTCTCAATCATGAGCGCTGCTGGTTTTATTGTTTCCTTGGCGATTGCGAGATCAGGGGCTTTATGTTGTTTAGCGATTTCTATCGTTTTCAAGTCGAGAGTCCGGTCCCTCGGGGTGTGGCTGGGCTTTCGTCAGCTCTTTGGCTGACGTATGATTGAGAGATGGACACCTGTGTGTGCTTGCTTTTCCCCCTGTTTGTTCTTCTCGAACGCGAACTTAAACTTTGACGTGATTCATCCAGTGAACGAAGAACAGCAATGATATTTTCCGAATAGTACTCAAGATGTCACTTTTTGCTTTGGAACACTGCATCTATTATCTATCTGGGTGGCATTTTGGAGCTGTTTTGCTGTTGCTTTGAGACGAGCTTGTGTGTGAATCTGTATTTTTGTGGCCTGGCTGAATCATCTCTCTCGAACATCTCTCTCTTTCTCATTCCTCAATCATCCGCATTTCGGGTTCCAGAGATCGCGATTGCAATATCGAGCTTTTTGTGTATTTTACTCTCAGTGGACGCCCCGGGCTTGGGTTCTATCCATTTTTTTTCTCTTTTCTCGTTGCTTACTCAGCGTTGTCATTCCAGGAATTCTCCCCCTCTCCTTTTTTTTCTCATAGTTATCTCTTTCTCTACTTTTTTTTTTCTTGTTCTTGGTCCTCCTAATCAAAGTGTGAGTGGGGGACCCTTAACTTTGATTTGTGCTTTTGCATTGCAAGAACAGCAAGAAGTCCCTTTCTCGGTTAACGCTGATGGATCCAAATCTTTTCCGATCGACGCACAAATCTAAGCACGAAATCGACGTTTCTAAGTGCACGTCTTTATATTTCCTATAGTCTATAGTCGCTCATTGTTGACAAGTTCCACCTCCTTGTTTGATGGTCTAATTGCTTTGGTGGCGCGCGCTTTTGGCGTGCTTAAGCCTTAAGCTGGGCCAGCTCCCTGACAAGCATACAAAGGTGGCATATTTCTATTAGATTTTTGTGTCGTTGCGTGTGGCCTAATCGTTCTCAGACACATAAATTGGTCGGCGAAAATTCACATGTGCCTGAAATATAGCGGCTATAGATGTTGAAAATACGGCATAGATTCGCCAAGCGAGAAAATAACTATTTTCTAAAGGTTTCAAGGGCTCGATTTAATTTGCTCAAAGCATAACATGCCGCGGGTGGCCACCTGGCCTCCCAAAAGACCAACAAGAAGCATCCGTACGTGCAGCCTGGACCGTCGGCTCTTAGGCGATCTTGACCGCTGGATGGGATGCGATCCGGGCCGTTGCCTGCGCGAAGGGGGAAAGAAGGTCCGAAAGAATGGGCAAAGGTGAGAAAATTTTTCGTGTAGAGTTCATCATTAATATTCCCAAGCCTTGTGAAGGGATGACCATCCATCAATCAAACTGAAAGAGAAGAAAATAAGAGCAAAGATAAAAAGCAATAGAAGTGATAGATTATTCGATTTGATATGCAAATTCATCACCAAAAGAAAAAATCAATCACAGTAAACTTTGCGTCTTTATGTAAAATTTTAGCTATTTACACTTGCGATCAAGCTCGAGAAGAGCTTGGACGTGAAAATTTTCACCCGGTCAAAAAAAGGAGAAAAAAAGAAGTTACAAAAAAAGAAGGAAGTTTCTCTTTTCTCCTTATGTTGTCGCCTGCTTGAGTGATCTCTTGTTCTTGGCGTTTTTGGACATCCATCGGTACTTTAACTTCAAAACCTTGTCGATGCATTTGTGAATCGCGACGAGCTGGTGATGATCTTTCTTCGGGGGCTGTGATTCACATCCAGTGGCAGCGACATTTTGCTCTAGAGCAGGCTGGATCGTGCGAGAATTCATCGAATTCACTGCAAGAACAGAACACCAAAAACAGAGTGAGCAAAGCCGAATGACTATATAATCCGAGAATCCAGGCACTTGGGCTGGCATCTCACCTGGAGAAATCGATGGCGATGGCGATTTTTTCTTGCTGGATCGCGGTCCCAGGCCGAATGCGATTCCGCTTTTGCTACGGTAGCACTTGAGCTCCACTGCCTGCGCGTGCTGGAAGAGATTGTCGCGGCAAACCGACGCGTTCTTCTCCAAGTTCCCGATGATCACAGTGGCTTCTTTGCTGAGGCGCGCGATCGCCGAATCCACTTCCATTCCAATGTGCTCCACCATGCGGTCCACTTTGTTGCTAATCTTCTCCAGTGTGGAGATCGTTCTCGCCACCAGATAGAGCACTGCGACCGTCGTGATCCCAAACCACACGAGATCCATCTGCGTCGTCTCAATCTTCATGGCAGCTGATGTGATGATCCAATCCAAAAACTTCTCGCCCGAAGAAATTCGCTCAAAGGCTTTGCTTGATTCAAGAAGAATCTCTCTCGACTCTCTCTCGACTCTCTCTCGACTCGCGTGATTTGGGAAATCTTCTCTCTTTTTTTCTTCTTTCCTTTCTTTGGGAATCTTTCTTGAAGAGAGCTCAATAACCACTGAGTCGTTTATATACTCGACCAAATGGGGTCCCATTCAAAAGCCAAAAAAACATAGAAGAAAACGAAATAGAAATAGTTAACTTAGCTTTAAGCTTTGCTTTTCTCGATCTAATGTAGATTAAGATCCCGTTACTCCTTTGTGATTTTGCTCTCCAGCTCCATAAAGTAGCCATTGTTCCAATTCACAGCCGTGGTAATTCCTTAGAGTAATACGAGGACTAACCTGGAGCATTGACTACCGTTGAATAACGAAATTTTATCTTTTGACCAGCCATTCACCTAGAGACTCGTGGTCAAAATCACTGTGGTAATGCCGGCCTGAATAATTTATCTTAGGAGCACGAGAAGTATATTCTAAGAGAACATTCAAGGCATATTCTAGGGCTAGGGTTTTTGGAGCTCGCGAGCAATGGGGGGCGATCCATCGCATGGCGCGGCTTCTTCTTCGGGGCATCATCCACCGCAGGGGCACAAGGGATGGCCGGAGCACTGGCCCAAGGATTACTCGGGATGGAACGACGACATCTGGACGCCATTCGGCGGCCCCTACTGCAATCCCAGGAATTGGCGCCGCAACACCGCGCTCACGCTGCTAGGGATCTTCCTGATTTGCATCCCAATCGCCCGGCTCTCGGCGCGCCTCGAGGTAATCCATCCTACATTCTCTCCTCTCCAGATTTTCGCGATCGACCCTGATCGATGGGCTGGTTTTGATCGATGTGGAACAGCAACGCCCAGTGCCGCCGCATTTCCCGATTCCCTCGCAGCTCTGGTGCAAGAATTTCGGGCCGCCGTTGGATCAAGACGAGGAGGACGAGGACAGCAAGATCAGGCTCTCGTAGAGCAGTGGTGGAAGCCAATAAGTTTTTCCATGTAGCCACGTGGACGGCTGAGATTTGGAACTTCTCAAACGAAGCGCGTAGATTAGGAGTTCCGGGATATTCTCGAAAGCTCCAGAAACCCTAAAGTTCTTGACGATGAATCTCAAGCGCAAGGGGCCAGACGATGGCGATCCCAGCGCAGCTCTCTACGGGCTGCTCCCCAGCAAGAAGCTGCGACAGGTATGGATTGATCGCCTCGCGCTGATAATGCGGTGAAATTCTCTCGGTTCTTGACGCGATGGGGCGGGATTTCGCAGGAATCGGAGGATTTTTTGCCCGATTTCTCCCGGAACGGGCCCGTTGCGATCCCCGAGGTCTGTCCCGTAGAGATCCCCAGCGATACACCAGTGGACTCTACACCTATTTCTTTGATCGTTACAGAGCCCGATGCTGATGACAGAGCTTTAGTCTTGTACAGGCCCATGGATCTTCCCGATCGCTCCAAGCCTCGGCTTAGACAAGTGAATGGATCCTTTCCACGCCACTACAGAGGTATGTTTCCTCTGAAACTTTCGTGAGCAAAAAAGAGAGAAAAAAAAACGATTTTGCTTGGTTTGTTTCACTTCTTTCATCCAGATTTCCAAGTCTCCGATGCTGTGGAGTGGTTTTCTCCATCCAAATCGTTCAAGCACGATTTCGCATTGTCGAGTGGAATGGGTATGAACAACAGCTTGGCGGTGATTCCCTACGTCGCGCCTCCAAGTTTCCGGGACGGTGGGCGAGTGATCATCGAAGATATCACCGACCAAGTTCGCCAGGAGGAGGAAGACCAAGCGAAAGAACAAGCCATGGCTATGGAGGAAGAGGCGACGCCCATGGACGAAGAGATGGCGGATGCTACAGTGGACGAAGCTCCTCCCCAGTTCATCGTCCAGCAGCCGTGCGAGGTTCCATCGTGGCACCTGTTTGATCCAAACTTTGCTACTCCAGTTATGTGGTCTAGCGGATCCTAATTGGAAGTGTCACGTAGTTTTCTTTCTTCTTGATAGAGCTAGCTAGCCGTAGGCGTTAAAAGTTTTAAATCGTGAGGAGCTATCGTCTTATTAGGGTCTTAAAGAGGGATGCTAAAGCTGCGATGGCGGCGATAGCACATCTTGCGAGGGATTCCGATGGAGACGATCGAAATGCGTGCGTCGATCCGAGAGATGTCGAGCAGGTGTTGCTGGCAGCGGCGGAGACGATCGCATCGTGCATGCAAGCAGCGGCCGAAATATCGGAGCTTGAATCGGCTGGAGATGCTCCAGCCAGGGTTTCTCCAGCCTCCAGTCCGCCGGAATCTCGGATTATTTCTTCTTCAGAGGGAAAGATCGATTCTTTGGTTCCGATTAGCCACCGGTCGAGCAAGAATCGCGACGCTAGCACCGATTTATCTCGATCGGCGGAGCAAGATGGGCGTTCTTCCAGAAAAGCCCAGGCAAGGATCATCCAAACAAGCCGCGAGGGGCATCCAAGCAAGCGCCTTCGATCTTCTTCTTCTCCATCCGGTGTCAGTTGCAACGACGACGCAAAGAAATCGAAGCAGCAGCGAGTGTCAGTGTTTGAGAGGCTCGCGTTTCCACCAGTCCAGGAAGGCAATGGCGATCCTTTTCTCGAGCCCGGGGCACTGGAAGGGATGATCTTTGGATGCACAACGGAGACCAAGCGCGAGTGTGAGCGGCGAAAGCTTTTTGGGCTCCCGGCGTCAAATCAAGCCAACGTTCTACGCGTCGCTCCAGGTACTGTGCTCTTTCTTTTTAATTACGACACGAAGGAACTCTCGGGAGTGTACGAGGCCGTTTCGCACGGGGCCATGAACATCGTCGCCGATGCTTTCGAGGAATGGGGATCGTTTCCAGCACAGGTTCACGAGATTTTCGTTTCCTTTTCGTTTCACCGATTCCAAATTTTTCTTCTTTGATCCAAGGTGGAAGTTCGCCGAGTTCTCAAATGCCAAGAGCTTCCCTTCAGTCATTTCAAGCGTGCAATCCTGGAGAACTTCTTCACGGACAAAAAGTTTCACTATGATCTCACGGGCTACCAGGTTCGCTCTACTTACGTTGCCATTGTTTTGTTGTCCTATTATTTTGAATAGGTGGATTCTCTGGTGGAAATGTTTAGAGCGGTTCTGCTATAGTGTAAGTAATCGCTTCTTCTTTACATAGACAATAATGAACTTCATATAGGTGGCGGCTTCACGTCGGCCAAGCTCGCGGCAATGGCTGCAGCCAGCTCTGATTCATCAACTTCCACATCGTCCTCTCTCGTCGGAATCGTCGTCGTCGTCGTCGTCTTCGTCCCATCCGGCTCGTCAAGATCTTTCAAGCTAGCTTTGATGGCGGCCTCCAGCATCGGATCCGACTCCTCCGCGGCGGCCTTCTGGCTCTCCTGACTGGCGGCCAGCTCGAGCGCCTGCTGGGCTTCCTGGGGAGTGAACCATCGTCCAAAACTCCCATCATCCGGGGAAGAAGCTCCGGCCGCATTGAAGTCCCGGGGGAGCTCGCCCTGCACGGCGAAGATGCTCCATCCCTCGTTCTTGAGCGAGTCGAGGAAGGCCGAGGCGTAGAAGCTGGAGAGGTGCTGGGGAGCCGGCAAGAGGCTGTTGAAGTTGTACCACTGGGCTCCAATCCGGCGGAGCGCGAACCAGTGATCGTGGAGGTTGCAGATGTAAGCGGCGATCTCGGTGGTGGCGGTGGCGAGTTCGGGGGAAGTGAGAGGGAGGCACTTGAGATCGAGCGCGGCGAGCGCGCGCTGGAGGACCTGGATGCTGAAGTTGCCGTCGAGGGCAACGTTGGAGGAGGCCTCGGAGACGAAGCGGAGGTAGTCGGGGGAGTGGGCGTCGCCGCCGCCGCTCTCGAGCATCACGTCGCGCTCGCTCTGGTCGAGGTCGCGCGCGATGGCCGCCAGCTCCAGCTCCGAGAAGTAGGGGCCCTGGAGCACCGCATTGAGGCAGTGCACGGCGCACAGCTTGGATTCCTGCGTCTCGTGATAGAGCAGCGGGCTCGCCATAGCTTCACTAAGCCCTAACCCTAATCGAATATAAGGGTATCTTTAGTTTCCACGCTTTCTACGTGTCTCGCTCTGGTTGTTACATGTGGCAAATTAAGAGCCGTTCATTGCTTTGAGTGCGTGGCGGGCTTTAGGGCATTTGTTGATTATGCGTTGTGGAGCTCGATCCATGGCGCTTGTCTCGGCATCGCTCGTGCCCTCGTCGCGTGGAGCTCTCGTCTCCACATCGGCCACAGCTGTCTCTGGATCCAGGCCTCGCAAGGTTTGGCTCCCGCATTTCCCTCGAGCTGCCGCCTCGAATCCGGCGCTGGTAGCGTCGAAATCGAGCGTGTTTGGGAGGAGATTGGCCCTTGGCGCTGTTGGAGCTGGCGTTGCAGCTCAGATTGCTTGGGGCGCGGGGAAGGCGTTTGCTTCCACGGCGACCAAGGAGAAATCCATCCACGATTTCACCGTCAAGGTATGGATGGGTCGATTTGATGTTCGGGATTTTGATGATTTGGTAATACATTAGAATATCGATGGGAAAGACATTGATTTGAGCACGTACAAGGGGAAAGTTCTACTCGTTGTCAACATTGCTTCTCAATGGTGTGGGCTATAAACGTTTGAAAGCATCGGTTTGACAAGGTTTTCTTTCTTTTTCTTATGATGTTTCCAGTGGATTGACTTCCGGGAACTATAAAGAATTGGTAGAAGTTCACAAGAAATACAAAGACCAAGGTAAGCTGTAAGCTACAAAATAAAACACTGCTCTTTCTTGTCTCTTGTCTCAGGCTTTGAGGTTTTAGCATTTCCATGCAACCAGTTTGGTGGTCAGGAACCAGGATCTAATGAGGAAATCAAGCAGTTTGCGTGCACCAGATACAAGGCAGAGTTTCCAATCTTCGACAAGGTAACTGCTTAAAGCGTTTTTTCCCTTCTCTAAGTCGTTTTTTTGCGATGAAGGTGGATGTGAATGGGCCATCGACAGCTCCAGTTTATCAATTCCTCAAGAGCAGCAAAGGCGGATTGCTGGGCGATAGCATCAAATGGAATTTCGGTAAATTTCTAGTGAACAAAGATGGGCAAGTTGTGGAAAGATATGCTCCCACCACTTCTCCCTTCCAGATCGAGGTAAGAACTCTTCCTGATTTTTGGTCTTTTCTCTCTAAACTATTGTCCTCCACAGGGCGACATTAAGAAGCTGCTATAAAATTCTAAACAGAGGTTTTGGTGTAAATCCGATTGTGAGCATAATTAAGGAGCATGCGACTCTACTCCTACATGCATGCAATTCAGTTCATTCTAGAAGTACGGAAGAACTTACTTTTTGAGAAACCTTTAAACATGGAGTGTCCATAGACTGTTATTTTGGTGGCTCGCGGAGCGAGGAATTCGTTTTCCGGTCGGCTTAACATGCACCCAAGATTTTGTTACAATCAAATGGTTATCAACATATATATGATATCATGTATGGTATCAAGCAACAGGAGCGGGAGCGGGAGCAAGCTCCACACGATTTCGCTCAAAGCAAGGTCCGCTCGACGCTACACTCGAACTAGACCACACAATCACATCCAACGAATTTCGAAGCGTAAGACCTGTACCATTAAAAATCGTCATGGAACTCGCGCCTTGTCCATCTGTGTCGCTCCTCCAGAAGAGCGAAGAAGGACGATTGCCCTGGCGCTCCACTTGCAGCTCGAGCTCCAAGCTCCCGTTGGTGGTGAAGCGAACTATGCAAGTAACTGGGCTCGCCGGGGGTGCAAACAAACAGGGCGACCCCCACACAAGGCTCCGCCGTAGTGGCGATGGAAGGATGGGAGCCTCTTGCTGGAGTTGGATCTGGCAGCTGCTGGAAGTGGTGTTGAAGAAGAGCACAGCCACAGTGGAGTTGTCTGGAGATCTCAGCCACTGTGGTCCTCCTGTTAACGAAGCTGTGCCATTTCCTTGAACAGTGATGGGTGTCGTGCTGAAGTTGCCATCGATCCGATCAGGCGTTAGTGATTCAACTTGAGCGCAGGTCATGGACGCAGACATCAGCAGTGCTGGAAGCAAGAGAAGGATTAGCTTCGTCATGGTGGTGGGATGGAATGGAATGAAGCTTGCATGTTTATATACTTGTAGTTTTTTGGTCAAGTAAAATAACGCGTTGAAAAGGTCGTAGACAAGTTACGTGTGTGGCTCTTCCAAAAAAGCTTCTTCGTTGGCGAGATCCCGCAAGAGTTTGGTCTCCACTCCGAGCTCGAGGAGTTCGACGCAGCAGCCATCTTGTGTTTCTGGATGAATTGTTCCACTCATGTTGTTGGCAGAGAGGTCTAGTCCTAGTAAATTCAGCAGGATCATCACGTCCTCCTGGACGTCATTGTTGGAGAGATCAAGCTCCGACAACCAACAAAGATTTCCAAAGCCAGCGACAGGAGCTTGCCGGATTTGCCATCGTATACACTATGGAGGAGATTAACACTCCAACTTGAGCCACCCAAGGAAGATCTGGAGAGGATCTAGAGACGTGTGTTGGAATTGGTTGCAGCACTCTTTTCCATTTACTCTACTGCGATTTTGCACCAGAAGAGTGTCAGATGGAGCTGATTCCAAGAGTAGTGGCAAATGGAGTCTTCAAGAAACTTTTGCAACTTTTAAGAAGCAGATCTTTTTATTTAAGAATTTAGGTTAGCAATTGTACGACATACGAATGTGTTAAAGATAAAAAGGGGAAAAACATTAGAGCAACCGTTTAATTGTTCCTTGTCACTCGTGGAATAGGATGATAATGAACATTTGGAAATATATATCCCATATCCCCTCTCCGTCGTATATGTCCTGGAAACCTTGGTAACTTGAGCTCGTCTGTGTCTTTCCTTACAAATGTCATGAAGACCCATTCATCTTCGTCTTCCACCCAAACAATTTGATGCATCTCCCCATCACGTTTATTCTTGACAATTGCACAAAACATAAGCATCTTGCCATAATACACCATTTCAGGAAGAGAAGGGTATATTCGACCCTGGATAAGTTCATAGTTCATAAAATACACCTTGGCAGTGGCATAGGGTGGATCAAACTCAATAGAATGCATTGTCTGCCCAAAACTATCTTCTTCAAGAGTGCCCAAATGCATTCCCATGACTTCTCCAAACCCCATCTTGTTGGCAATTCTTGCTACCTTGCTCTCCATCTGTCAAAACCCTATTCCCAAAAGACCTTCCCATAAAACCTACTTTTATAGATGGTTGAAAAGGGAGAAATATGTAATGTTATCTTTCTTGTTTTCTCCGGAGTTCCTGGGTAGGGCGAGCACGTTCCCACCCAGAACGGGCAAGCCAAGTGTTAGGCGAGTGCATTCTAGAGGGAACAAGCGAGCCCGTGCCCGTTAACAGACATGTGGAAGAATATTATTTGAGGATGAGAGGGTTCTCCAGAATTGGCAGCTGGTAACCTGGTTCTCCAGAACCTGGCAGCTGGCAGCTGGGTTCTGAAGAACCTAGCAATTGTCAGCCACATTCTCGCAAAGAACTTAACTCGATCTGACAGCTACCAATGGTTGGATTAAGTTAATGAGCGAGCCACAGCCCATTAAGAATTCTTCTTATGCTATCAAAGATCTCGATTGTGTTTGCCAGCATCAATTCCCTACCCTTAAAGGCTGTGGCTCACTTGTTAACTTGATCCAACTATTGGCAACCGTCGGATTGAGTCAGGTTCTTGCAGTGTGGCTGACAACTACCAGGTTCTTTAGAACCTAGCTGCCAATTGTGAGGTTCTTGAGAACCAGGCTACCAGCTATCAATTCTGAAGAACCCTCTCATCCTCGAATAACATTCTTCAACATGTTTGTTAATGGTCTTGCCACACCCCGTTAAGGCCATTCCACAGGCACGGGCTTGCCCGTTCTGGGTGGGAACTTGCTTGCCCTACCCGGGAACTCCTTCGTCCCTGCTAATTCTTCAAGAAGCTAAACAGCAATGGGCAGTATAGCAATAAATGGAATTTTGGGACAGGCTTTGGGTGAATTAAAGCTTTGGTTTTCCTCAAAGGGTGTTCTAGCTCTAGAATAGAGATTTTGGTGTGGGATCACTTGAAGTAGATCGATGCTACTGAGAATGAAAAGCATCGAGCCAAGCATAGCAAATCCCCGCTCCATTTAGGTGATTCCGCAAAGCAAACCGCCCATATGCGCGGCGGCTGCTGTAAAGACCACCACACATAAACCCTAAACCTTGCCCACAAATTAGGGTTCTTCGTTGGGAAGAGAGAGAATGCAGGTCGGTTTCAGGGTTGGAGTGGAATGCTTGATACGAAATCCGCAGCTAGGAGCTCAGATTTTTCCCCGGCAGGGCCTTAAGGTAGAGATTTTGATGGAATTTACGCGTGGATTTGGAAATTCTCATTCCTGTGAGGCAGGAACGAAGAACCAGAGTAATTTGCAGCGTTTCTTCTGGAACTGGAAGCGATTTTGCTGAATATAAGTCGAATGAGGTGTGATGGAGAGGATTTTTTTTGGATTTCTCCGTGCACTACTAGTTTACTTTCAGGAGGAAGAAGCGCCGGTGAGGCAGAGATTGGAGAATTTCCGAGACGCGTTTTGGAGGTTCTTGCGTCCTCACACTGTTCGTGGAACCATCATTGGAAGCACGTAAGCTTTATCTTCTCTAGTTTTTGCTCGTGACACTTAAAACTTTTTTAGATCTTTGGTAGCAAGAGCTCTTTTGGAGAACGCCGACTGCATCAATTGGTTCCTCGTTCCAAAGGCTCTCAGGGGTCTTCTAGCACTCATCTGTGGAAATGGCTACATTGTGGGAATCAACCAGATCTACGACGTTGGCATTGACAAGTAAGCTTTCTCCTCGACGATATGAACGAAAGGAAACTTACAGAATTCTCTGTTTCTTAGAGTGAACAAGCCTTTCCTGCCTATAGCAGCGGGAGATCTCTCCGTGTCCACTGCGTGGGCTCTGGTACTGTCTCTCGCTGTGCTCGGCACTGGAATAGTTGCTACAAACTTTGGCCGGCTCATCACGTCGCTCTACGTCCTTGGCTTGGTTCTGGGAGCCATGTACTCGGTGCCTCCATTGAGGCTCAAGAGATTTGCCGTTCCAGCCTTTCTGATAATTGCTACGGTAAGAACTTATTTGTTTTACACACCAGAGTTTCTAAGTTCCTCGTCCCAGGTTCGTGGATTTCTCTTGAATTTTGGTGTATACTATGCAACGAGAGCTTCTCTCGGCCTTCCTTTTGTTTGGAGGTATACAGCTTTGCATCTGGTTTTAACATAATTCGTGTTCCTTGTGGTACAGTCCCCATGTCATCTTTATCACGGCCTTTGTGACTTTGTTCGCGACTGTGATAGCAATCACCAAGGATCTTCCTGACGTTGAGGGTGATCTGAAGTAAGCTCCTAACACTCAGCCCCAGATAAGTGTTCATTTTACTCTAGTTTCTTATTGGATTCTTCGTTTGTACAGATTCAAGATCTCTACCTTTGCAACAAAGCTCGGCGTACGCAATATATCCTTGCTGGGAGCAGGACTTCTGCTAACAAATTACATTGGTGCAATTGTTGCTGCTTTTCGTTTTCCACAGGTAGTGCTGAAGAAACTTTCCAAGGTTTCCTGATTCTTTATCGCAGGTTTTTAATACGGGTCCTATGGCTATCACTCACGGGATACTGGGGGTTTGTTTGCTCTACCAGGTTCGAACTTTTCTTTGTAAAACTTCACAAACAAACTAAAATGTTCCTCTTCTCGCAGCTATGGCTGCTGGAGTCTGCCAAGTACTCGAAGGTAAGTCAGTTACTTCCAGACAAAACTTTCACTGGCTTTTTAAACCTTTGATCGCAGGAAGCCATCTCTACATTCTATAGATTCATCTGGAATCTATTCTACGCAGAGTATTTAGTCTTCCCAGCCATCTAGAGCTTACTCTTCATACCACCTGCTGAGATTTTTAGCGCCTTCACCTGTGCCGACATTGCTAAAGTATTTTTTCCGATACTCACTCACCAGCCTGTCGAGTTTGTCTTCCTCTTCATTCCCTTCGTTTTTTCCCCTTCGTCTCTTCTTCTCATCCGGTGCAGCCAGATTCTCCCTTTGCGCTCCTTCACCTTGTTTAAATCCCTTCTTGCCATGTGGTTTCGCTGGAGTTTGAGCTTTGTCCATCTTCCTCTTTTTGCCCTGCGCTTTTCCTTGCTTGTCCGCCCCTCCCTGTGGCTTCTCTTGTTCGCCTCCCCCATTTTGAGCCTTGTCCCTCTTTTTTCCCAGTGGTTTTTCTTGGTTGCCTTGTCCTTGATTACTCTCACCATTTTGAGCTTTATCGTTCTTCCCCTTTCTCTTCTTTCTTTTCGACTTCCGTCCATCAGCTTCCACTCCATCATCGTTCGGTTGCCTTTTACGTTTTCCTCCGGGGCTTCCATTACCAGTATCGTCGACTCTTTTGCTTGTTGGTCCCTTTGAGTTTGGTCGTAACTTCTGTGCAGCTAGCCGACTCTCCCTTTTCTTCATCCTCGCTACATTCTCAATCGCAAACTCTACGATTGGTCGTTTCTCCGAACCGAAAGTTTCTGCGTATCCACAAACGGCCGAGAAGAACTTGAACCAGATAGATAAAAAAAAAAAAGAGTACCTGGATTGTTATTCAAAACTCGCAACGCGACGATCGCGTGTTGGTGCTCAGCAAACTCTACAAAGCCTGTTCCTCGGGAGTTTTCCTTATCGTCAGTTAAAAGTTTCACCTGCCAAGAGACTCGTCGACGTTAGAAAGGAAAGTTTTTGAGAAGAAGAAACTGCACACCTGTTTGATCACGGGACGCTGCTTTCTCGCCCGCGAAACAACTGCATTTGTAAACAGCTGCTTCACGTCCTTCTCGCTCAAAGTTCTTGGAAAGTTATGTATCGCGAGCCTGGTTTTCGAGACATGAAAATTCGGACTCCTCAGTTTTGTTGCCTTCTCTGTTTGAAGCCTGTCCAAGGATCGATCAACCAACAAAAGAAAATAAGAAAATAAAGAGAGAACGAAAGAAAGAACATACGCTGAACGCTTGAGTAAGTCGGATTTTGAAACACCATGCGCGGCTTCTGTTCCTGGTTGTATATATCCTTCCTGGAAGTTTAATAAAGTTAATCGTGGACAACGCTACGATCATCACGTACCTTGAGCAAGTGGAGGTTTCGTTTATCATGATCTCTTTCCTCGATGGATTTCTTCGTGGAGATTTCCCGGGCAGCGTCCCGATCGACAGCAAAATGAGCGATAGGATACTTTCCAGCAATCGAGAAACTAGAGTTCCCTTCTTCGGCGTTCTTGGTGGCTCTGGCTAGCGCTTCGGCGGCTTCTCGAGTAGCAAACTCTACAAATGCTGTTCCTTTTGGTTTTCTGGAATGGCAACCATTGAGAAAACAACGGGTAAAATAGAGTAAAAGGAAGAGAAAACACTTACTTTGTTGCGGGATGAAGCACGAGACGTAACGAGGTCACGTCTCCAAATTCCGAAAACTTCTTCTTCAAGTCGTGTACTTTCGCATCCGGTGGAAGGTTGCGAACGAAGAGTGTTCTCTCCATGGAGTTTTCTTCCGGTGGTTTCGCAGCTAGAGGCTTTTTCACCTCTCGGGAGGCCGCCATGGGACTCTTTCGGTCCTCGTCACCGTCCTTTGCTTTGCCTGGCTCTGTCACAACTTTGCTTAACACTTTACTCACCAAGTTCTTCTCGTCTAAAGGTTTCTCCTCCTCTTCGTCATCTTCCTCGTCGTCTTCTTCATCCTCCTCGTCTTCTTCTTCGTCACTCACAATTCCATCCGATTCACTCGCTGTTTCATTATCAAGGTCGCTGTTCTCGGCTTTCTCTTCTTCTGCGAGCAGCCAAAAAGGAGATCAGCGTTTGGACTTGCTGGGAAAGTGAAAGAGTAAATATTCACCTGACTTGTGGACAATGTTCTCATAAGTCATTTTCGCCACAGCCCAGTCAACAGCGATAGTTCTGTTTGCAATCTTCGTGCCGTTCAAAGCCTTGATGGCCTGAAAAATATGGTGAGCTAAAACTAAATATCGATTTGCTGGCGAGAACGAACCTTTTCGGCGTCATTTTTGCAAGTGTAGCCTATGAACGCAAAGCCTTTCGATCTAAAACACTGAACACAATTACTACTTGCAAAAGGGAGGATTTTTCGTTTACTCACCGACCATCCGGATTACGGGGTACTGTGGTCTCCCAGACAAAGCCAGCAGCTGAAAATTTTTCTTTCAGCATTGCATCCGTCACCTGGTTAGAAAACTCGACGATAAGAAAATGCCGCTAAAAAACTAACGTTCTACCTTGAAAGGCAAGTTGCGAACAATGAGCCTCCACTTTTTGAGTTTTGAGCCCTGCGCAAATGCAAAACATCGCAAGCTTACGAAAAGTTGTTTAAGACAATTGTCTACCTCTCCTCCCAATTGCCTGGCCCAAAACACTTCATTGCCGAGTTTTTGGAGATGGTAAGTTGCAACGGCCTGCCGAGCCGCCGTCACTGATGTAAAAACTATAGCTGCAGCAGGAAGCTTGCAGCCATCCCGTGAAAGTCCTGATATAAAAGAAGTTGAAACTTTGGAAGACACGAAAAGATGATGACAGTAAAATTACCATGCTGGTTGATATACGCTTCCGAGAGACTTTTCTCGACACTTTCGACAGTTCCCAGCTTCTTGGCAAGAGTTAAAACTGCTTCCGCTGTTTCCGAGTCTCCCAAGTTACCGATCACTACTGTCCTTGCAGGTCTGCAAAGACAACAAAAGCCTCATAGAATGTTAGAACTTTTAAAGGAAGAAGGAAAACGAGAACCTTTGCTTTTCGGAGGCTGCATTCTGAGAAGAGTCAGTAGTCTCTTGGACTTGAGAAGTCCTTTTGCATTTGGCTTTCGCATGACTTTTTGCGGTGCCCTGCTTTGGCTTTTCTTCTTCGTTGATGACAGCAGGAGTTTCGGGTTCTTTCTCACCACCATTTTGCACTGTGTTATTTGCAGCCTCGGCCGCGTTTTCCTGGCCAGCCGCTTCCGTGGTTCCACCCTGCCTTTTCTTCCTGCGCTCGTTAAGCGATGGACGCTTCCTTGCAACCTCGACTTTGATTCTACGACCCTCCATGGAACTATCATTCTTCGAAGCCACAGCACGCTGGGCATCCTCAGCAATCGCACTACATTTTTGCGAAACAGTCAAGGAAATCGAAGCGAAAACATAGCACTTACAATTGCACGAATCCAAATCCCCGGTGCTTGTTCGTTGCTTCATCCAGAAAACAAGAAAATCAAACAAGTCAGCAATGCGGGAGGACGAGAGCGAGCGAGCGAGCAGCACGAAAAGAAGAAGACAAAAAAATACATACCTTTATCTTTCACTGTGAAAGCGCGACGAACGGGACCGATATCACTGAATGCCTCTTCCAGCTGCCAAAAGAGAGAATGAGACGATCATACAAAGACGAGGCGCCGAAATACCTGCGCATCGGAGAGCGTGAGCGGCAATCCTCTGACAAACACTGTTCGCGCATCGATCTCGTTTTCTCGCTTCGCCTCTTTCTCATCTCCCATTGAGGCTCGCGAAATTAGGGTTCTTCGAAGAGGGTTTTAGCATTTAGGGTTCTTGGCTCTAGATCATGGAAATGCGAGAGAAATGGACTGGAGAGCTCACTGTGGAGCAATGCTGTAACCGCGCTGCTGCTACACGCGCCTATGCCCGCTATCCGCTCAAGCTCGTGCTTCCATCCAAGGTAAGCTGGATCCAAAATTTTGCGAATTTGCGGTAAGAGTGGAAATTTTCCACTTCCAGGTTGCTTGCTCGGGGATCGATGCTGTCTGGGTGTATTTAGTGACTTATGGCGGTGGAATCGTGTCCGTGAGTGTTGATTCTCGTCCTTTTTTCCTTCTTGATTCTTTTTTTCTCACAGGGAGACTCGATCAGCTGTAAAGTTTCTGTGGGAGATCATTGTACTCTTGTTCTTACGACTCAATCTTCGACCAAGGTACCTACATTTCTGTGCTACGAATTTTTCTTCCTTGTTGAAAGCTTTCTTTTTCTTTTCCTCTTCGCTGTGTATGTTTTTTGGTGAAGATTTACAAGGCAGTCCAAGGCAAGTTCTCCGAGCAAGTTTTCAAGGTACCAGTGTCATTTTCTTCTTCTTCCACACTTCTAGCTAAGATCTTTTTCTTCTTGGTTTTGTCAAGGCTCTCGTAGCGAAGGATGCTCTTCTCGTGATGATGCCGGATCCCGTCACATGTTTTGCAGCCGCGAAGTACAAACAGGTCCAGCACTTCTTTTTATCGCTCGATGCCAACCTCGTTCTTGTGGACTGGTTTACAAGCGGGCGAAGAGAACGCGGTGAGGTTTGGGCGTTTGAGTCCTTCAGAAGCACCAACAATGTTTACCTGGATGGCAATCCCGTCTTCCTGGACACCGTAAGCTTTCCTCCTTGTTTCATTCTTGCCTAAGTTTCTCGTTTTCTGTTGCAGATGAACTTAGAGCAGGACGTAAGTTTGCCAATATCGTCGAGGCTGCAAGACTTTCACTCGGTTGCGATGCTCGTAATTTACGGGTGAGTTTCTTTTGTTACTTCCGTTTCTCTATATTTTCCTCACACTCTTGGCCTAACAGTCCTCGCTTATCTTCGATCCGGAAGCGCATTGAAGAGAGAGTAGGAAGTCAATGTGAGGAGGCTGTAAGAAAGAAGAAGCACAGATCGTCAACGCATGGAAGATTGTTGTGTTCGTTCAGCTCGTTTGGACCATCCGTAAGTAAATATCTGTTTCAGCTTGCGGGAGGAAAAATAATTGTGACATTGTTTGCAGGACGCTGGCCTCGTAGTTCGTGTTGCAGCAGTCGAAACAGAACTGATATACGACTTTCTCAAGCAGGAACTGGCCGAGCTGTCGGACTTAATAGGTGCTCCTCCATACTATGGCAAATAGTCCACACAAACGCACGTTACGAAGCAGGAGAGAGCATCGCAGCCGTTAGACAGCTGCATCCTACGGTAGTCCTTTGCAGCCGTTAGAGTCATTGCTTGGGATCTCTTCTTCTCTTTATGGCCAAGAAGAAATGGGAAGACGACGACTTTGATCCACATTGTCCAACACTTCTCCAACAGGTGCGTTTTTAATCCTCGCGCGTCTTCATCTTTTTCCTCCTCTTTTGTTTTGCAGGTCCTCACGTACAAGTCAAAAACACGTCGCCTCTTTTCTCCGTGGACGACTTCGTCGGACTCCTCGGCTTCGATCGAGAGCTACGGCTCCACCGAATCGCGGGGCTCGTCCGACAGCCGCGGCTCGTGGGATCTAGACGATCTCATCAAGGCTGCCAATATCTCCTCGTCATCCTCTTCCGAAGTCTCGGCCATTCTAAAGTCACTCGCAAACTCCGACGACGAAGAAGACCTATCCATTATTAAAGCACCACCAAAAGCACTCACGCTGACGAGATTGGCCTCTTCAAGTCCAGACGTACGTATGCACCGATGCTTCTCATTATTTTTTCTAAACTCCACCTCTTTTTCTTCCTTTCTTGCCTCACAGAAAGAAAAGGTGGAAGACAACAAAGCACAAATCATATCCACGACTCCTCCTGTTGGTAGTCAGTCACCGTTGTAAAGGGACCCCACTCTACATAGTAAGCCTTGGACTGCATAACTCGAGCACAGCTCCTCCACTCCAGAATGGCCTCGTCTTTCCAGGTTCTTCTCATGTTCTTTGCTCTTACAGTCATTCTCTCCAATTCAGCTGATCCAGATCCACTCCAAGACTACTGCCTTCCTACTCAAGCGCAGCAGCACCAGTGCAAGAGCTCGCCTTCACCCAGTGACTTCGTCTCCAGAGTCCTGGGAAACGCCCCCAATTTCCAGCCACCGCAGACCTGGAACGCCTCTCTACTGTCCTCGGCAAACTTCCCAGCTCTCAACACCATGGGCCTCTCCATCGCCAGAGCTCACCTGGGAGTCGGAGGCACGGTCCCGCTGCACTACCACCCCCGAGCATCCGAGCTCATCTACATCGCGGAAGGAGAGGTGGAGGCTGGGTTTGTCGACTCGAACAACGTCCTGTTCGCGCAGACCCTCCAGCCGGGAGACGTGATGATCCTTCCCAAAGGCATGCTCCACTACCAATACAATCCTGGCAGCAGCAGAGCCACGGTGCTGGCCTCGTTCGATAGCCAGAGCCCCGGAATCGTCCTCCCTGGCCCCGGTGTGTTTGGCTCTGGGATTCGAGACGAAGTTATCGCGTCGTCCCTCGGGGGACTCGACCACGCCACGCTTGAAGCAGTGAAAGCTAAGTTCAAGCCTCGGTCGTGATACAGTCTGTTTGTGATTGATTCGAATAAGCAATCAGAATTGACTATAAAATTGTCGTTTTTCATATACTATGCATTTTCATTAGAACCCTAAATCACAATTTTATCTCTTACTCACTAATCATAATTTAAGCACATTTCTTTTCTGCATTCTTGGATCAAACATTCTCGGATTCCGCATGCTGCAATGTGGAACCAGCAATCCCGAGAATAATCTCGCCGCGTTCTCAAAAATGGGGACACTCAAGCTCGTAAGCTCGTCGGAACGAATATAGCGGTGGAATCCCGTGATCATACTCAATCGTCGACAAAGGTACCTACATTTCTCTGCGTACTTTTAGACCAGGATCTGGCCGAGCTCTCGGATTTAATTGGCGCTATACTATGGAGCAAATAGTCCACACGAACGCGAGCCCAGCGCGATTCGATGGAACCGTAGCAGCAGGAGTCCGACGAAGTCGTCCATGAGGAAAAGAGCCAATGAGTTTTTGACTATACGGAAGGATCTAGAGAGGAGGAAAAAGAAGGAACTTAAAGTCGAAAATGATCACCAGGTTACCACGGCACTCTGAGCAGCATTGTGATTTGTTAGATTCTTGAGCCGCTGCTCTCCGATGTCCCGCGAGACGATCTGCTACTCCGCTCTCCACCCGCAAGTTTGTGCTGGCTCACAAAAAGGGCCTAGGTTCGTCAGAGTTTGTTCGTCAAGCCACTCTGGGGATTTGGATTCGTGCCGTTCTAAGTGCCAAGTGCGGGAACGAAATAACAATGCTTCTCGTCATCCTCTTCCGAGGCCTCGGTCATTCTAAAGTCGCTCATGCTGACGAGATTGACTTCTTCGTACGCACCTATTCTTCCCATTTTTCTTCTTTTTTCGTCCCTCGCAGCAAGAAAAGGTGGATGCACAAATCATATCCTCGGACTTCAAAACTCGACCACCATCACTCGAGTTCCTCTGCTCCAGAATGGCCTCTTCCCTCCAGGTTCTTCTCGTCTTCTTTTCTGTCCTCGCCGATTCAACTGATCCAGATTCACTCCAAGACTACTGCCTTCTTACTCAAGAGCAGCAGCACCAGTGCAAGAGCTCGCCATCACCCAGTGACTTCGTCTCCAAAGTCCTGGGAAACACCACCAATACCCGGCCTCCACAGACCTGGAATGCCACTCTACTTTCCTCGGCAAACTTCCCAGCTCTCAACACAATGGACCTCACCATCGCCAGAGCCGAACTGGGAGTCGGAGGCACGGTCCCGCTGCACTACCACCCCCGAGCATCCGAGCTCGTCTTCATCGTGGAAGGAGTCGTGGAGGTCGGGTTTGTCGACACGAGCAACGTCCTGTTCATCCAGACCCTCCAGCCGGGGGACGTGACGATCGTTCCTAAAGGCATGCTCCACTACGAATACAATCCTGGCAGCAGCAGAGCCACCTTGCTGGCCTATAGTTAGAGTCCCGGTATCCTCGCCCCTGGCCCCGGTGTCTTTGGCTCTGGAATTCGAGACGAAGTTATCGCAGCCTCCCTCGGTGGACTGGACCACGCCACGCTTGAAGCGGTGAAAGCTAAGTTCAAGCCTTGGTCGTGATAGAGTGAATAAGCAATCCTTGACTGTTCAGTTGTTAACCATTAAAAGGTTGTAGGCTAGATCCATCAAGCGCGTGGGATCTTCTCCCGCAATCTTGTGACTTGGAACACGCAATGGCGTCAAAAGATGGATGCTGGATTGTATCCCCCTATGGAACTCCTTGCGGGATATAGCCAAGGCTCGCCTAAGAAATCCTCGCTCTCATGCCCGCATTCTCCCACCGCGGCTCCAGGAATCCACAATATATAGGGCTTTGGCCGACTTATGGGCTAGAGGGAGCAAACAAATGATCCAGAGGAGCTGTGCGAGGAGAAGCACGACTGCACAAGAAGGAGGAGCTTCTCCGCGAGGAGAAGCTCATCTTACTGAAGTACGAGGGTATCGCACTATCCACAAGGAGTTGCCTTTTACTTGCTGCTTAAACAACTCTCGCTCCCTTTTCTGTTGCTCTTGGTGTGTGATCGTGATCCTGACTTCGATTAAAAATTTGAGCTCCAACTTGGACCTTGGATTAACTCTCTTGGATTAACTCTGGAACAAATATATTTTTCGTGCTCGGAAAACAAATGTATTACATTTATTTAGTGTTCTAGTGAGTTGTGCAAATTGTGAATCTTCATGAGCGTGTTTGAAGGGCGTTTGGCACTCTGTCTCTTTCCTTCTCTTTCCCCTCGGAAGTGGAAGGGACTGATCTTCTGGCACGAAAAGAAAAACAAAAGAACGTGAGAGATCATATCTGGCACGGCATTGTGACTGCTAAGCTTACATGCGTTCTGGAGTGTGAGGAGAGCTTTCGTCCTTTTTATTGCTGTGTAAAAACAAGAAAACATGTTTTCGTTCTGGACGTGATCTTCAAAGTGAAGAATCTTGCTTTCGAGTTCCTCGAGGAACTTAGTTTCGTGAAGAACAAACTCTGACAGAAAGGAAAAAAAGTTACCATCTCCCAAGAACAAACGAGAGCACACCAAGAAATCTCAAGAACTTTACTTTGACTCGCCCGGGTTGTCCGTCGTGCAGCCCATCGTGCTTGGATTTTGGCCCGGGTCCGAGAGAAAAACTCATCTCTAGCCTTTCCTGAGCTCTTTGTTCTCGGCCTCGAGCGAGGTTTGCTTCTTCTGGAAATCCTGTTTTTGCTTGTCACAGACACCTTCCATGGATCGCAAGCACTCGGCAAGCTTGCCATTCCTCTTCTTGCCTGATCTGGGAGAAAAAACTCTCCTCCATGGCGAGGACCCTGAAACGATCAACGAAAGACTAGAACATCAGATCGCCTCCAGCCGTTAACTGGCGCCATTTTAACGCGCCTAATGCTGTTCCTTTTGGTTTTCTGGAATGATTGAGAAAACAACGGGGAAAATAGTGGTGGAAGGTTGCGAACGAATGGAGTTTTCTTCCGGTGGCGTCGCAGCTAAAGGCTTTTTCACCTCTCGGGAGGCGGCCACGGGACTCTTTCGGTCCTCGTCAACGTCCTTTGCTCTGCCTGGCTCTGTCACAACTTTGCTTAACACTTTACTCACCAAGTTCTCGTCTAAAGGTTTCTCCTCTTCTTCGTCATCTTCCTCGTTGTCTTCTTCATCCTCCTTGTCTTCTTCTTCGTCACTCACAATTCCATCCGATTCACTTGTGTAGCCTATGAATTCAAAGCCTTTCGATCTAAAACACTGAACACAATTACTACTTGCAAAAGGGAAGATTTTTTCCGACCATCCGGATTACGGGGTGTGGTCTCCCAGACAAAGCCAGCAGCTGAAAATTTTTCTTTCAGCATTGCATCCGTCACCTGGTTAGAAAACTTGGCGATAAGAAAATGTCGCTAAAAACTAGCGTTCTACCTTGAAAGGCAAGTTGCGAATAATGAGCCTCCACTTTTTGAGTTTAGAGCCCTGCGCAAATGCAAAACATCGCAAGCTTACGAAAAGTTGTTTAAGACAATTGTCTATCTCTCCTCCCAATTGCCTGGCCCAAAACACTTCATTGCCGAGTTTTTGGAGATGGTAAGTTGCAACGGCCTGCCGAGTCGCCGTCACTGATGTAAAAACTATAGCTGCAGCAGGAAGCTTGCAGCCATCCCGTGAAAGTCCTGATATAAAAGAAGTTGAAACTTTGGAAGACACGAACAGTAAAATTACCATACTGGTTGATATATGCTTCCGAGAGATTTTTCTCGACACTTTCGACAGTTCCGAGCTTCTTGCTTCAGCTGTTTCTGAGTTACCGATCACTACTGTCCTTGCAGGTCTGTAAGAACAACAAAAGCCTCATAGAATGTTAGAACTTTGAAAGGAAGAAGGAAAACGAGAACCTTTGTTTTTCGGAGGCTGCATTCTGAGAAGATTCAGCAGTCTCTTTGACTTGAGAAATCCTTTCCTTTTTGGCTTTCACATGACTTTTTGCAGTGCCCTGCTTTGGCTTTTCTGCTTGGCAAAAAGGAAGGGCTAAAGAATATTCTGTTACAATATTCATTACTGTTTAAAGAATATTTTGAAGAATATTACCAATTTTTATTTCTTTTTTTGAATATGCTAAGAATATTATTTTATAATAATTTAATATTCTGTCATTATGTAATTACTACAACTATACTTTATGTTGTAACTATAAACTATTATATAATATCAGATATTATTATAACTACAATAAATTATAACTCAAATCCATACACAATCCATACATATAGAAGAATTAAGTTGCTTTCTTCTTCTCTCTCACATTTTTTGTTTTTCTCTCTTCTTCTCTTTGTGCATAATCATCAACAAACTTTGATATGAAAGTTGACTTTTCCTTAATGTACATGTTATAATGCTTTGAATGCCTGTCCATAAACTCAGTTATAACCTTCATGTGGGGTGGCATATCATTAGGAGCTTTCTTCATAATAATGTGTTAAAACCATTATATGATGCTAGGATCACAATTTATTCCAAAGGCATTGTGACGATTGTGTCGAGAAATAACTAAGAAAGCCCTTATGCCATTGAAGAAGTCAAGGATACAATCACTCTCATGGCAAATGCATCACACAACTATGTCTACCAAAGCTTTTGACTTTTGTGAAAGAGGTTGCCTATAAAAAATATTTGAGGTATTTTCTTGTTTAAAAAGAAACGATTTACCAACTTTTACATTTAATGTCATCTATGATAATGTTGGTTGATTCATGTTGGAGGAGATTTGACGAAAGGTTCAAAAGCAAAACCACTTTTTCCTTTATTTCCATTCTCTTATGGAACAATAACATTGAGATAGCTTTGATCAATATTGCAAAATCAATTACTAATTAGGAAACACAAGAACTTTAAATATAACTGCTTTTTGCCTCTAAAGCCCCAACCTGTTCATGACTTTAATATGTAATTTTTGATTAAGACAAAGTGAGCTTGAGAAAACACTTTTGCCATCCCAATTATTTGTGATGTCATCCTAATGGCTAAATACCAACAGAAAGTCTCATAAAATTCATTTGCAAAATTAATACTAGAATA